AATTAACCTTTAAGGTGTGCCCTCTAAGTATACAATTACACAATCATACGTATAGACAAAATAATAAATGGAGATTCAAATAATCCTAAGGGCATGGGATTAAATATTAACAACACAACATATTTGAGACAACAAGGTCGATTAAAGGTATGGAAATGTTTCACAATATTCGAGCAGTATGTAAATGGAAGGTAAGTATGCAACAGTTGAAAAAGAGCATAATAAAACCAGAGAACTGAAAATCGAAGAATCTGAACGAGTAATAACCACGGACTATAGTACTCCGCGATATCGAATGAATATTAGCTCGCTATAAACCAATAACCGCTCCAAGTTTCTGCCTAGGCTTCTAGCCACCAGAAACAGACAATAATAGAGAAGTACCAAAAGGATAGAAGTAGTGAAGAGAGGGTGTTATAGCAGCAATGGTGAAAAGCCATCCTCAAGATATAAGCCGTATTTCCCCCCTAATAAGCTCAATATGCAAGGTATTTGTAGTGCACCACGGTGTAGGATTACATTTGAAATTCGAACTAAAAAAACTCAATGGAAATTGATTTAGATATTTGCTAAAGGAAATGGATAAATCTGGTTGAATTTATGGGAAGGTGTGTGAGAGTAACAACTGTGGTAGGAGAAATTAGAGCAAAACTTTGGGGAAATCTTGTATAAAAATATGGAATGATAATTGAAAATAAGACGTAAAAGAGGGAGAATATAATTGAGCTAAAGATAGAAAAAAGGGAATGAACAATAAGATTATGAGAAGAATTAAAGTAATGAAATAAGAGAATGTGGGAGAGAGACGTTGGCAAGGGAGTGCTTTATGAAATGTCTAAATTTGATGGAAAATGTGAGATTATGAGAGGCTTTTGAGGAATGATGTGCTGAGAAATATATTAAAGAGAATAAACGTAGGGATTTAAGAAAGAAGAAAAGAAAATAATTATTAAAAAAACGAGAAAGAAGAAGAAGAAAAATAAAACAACTAAGGGAAAAATTAGATAGTAGACGTTAGGCAAATCTTTTGGTTAGTTTGGGACTCATTTCCTATTTTATATCTTGAACAACTAAAATTCTACTACCATATTATAAAAAATCAAATTAGGTACTAGGAGAAGCAAATGCAAATATATATTATATATACACACCATTTCGGAAAAAAATGCTTGAGCCTATGCTTACAAAAAAATAACTAACATCTAATGCAATACAAGAGGAGTGACATTTTAAAAAGGAATATTGCTTAACTAGTTTTAAAGCGGGATTAAAAGTGCGAGTGAAATAATTTTTTTTACAATAACTATTATATAATAGTCGTAATAATAAGGCTAATGAAAATGAAGATAATAGTAATTTATAGTTAAAAATATGCATTTAAAATATCAGTGATTTAGAAGCTCAAGGGGATAACTTAGAAGAAACGAGGGACGAAAAGGGGTGTCAACATACACCACCATGCTTGTGGCATGGAATCCGATCTATGCCCGATCGGCTAATCCGTTTTACCCTAAAGCATGAGGTTGGACATAGAAATACATCACCGCCATGTGTGCGGCTTGGCGTCCTATCTCTGCCCGATCAACTGAGTCGTCTTACCACAATGCCGTGTGGGTTGACATGGTCCCTGCTAGCTATCAACAACAACAACAACAAACTCAGTGTATTATTATAAATGGGATATGGAGAGGGTGGTGTGTATGCAGACCTCACCCCTACCTTAAAAAGATAGAGAGGTTGTTTTCGATAGACCCTCGGTTCAAGGACAGTGAAGATAAAGCAAAAAGTAAAAACAACAACAATAATAATATATTAAGGTAAGGGGAATTCATCCCTTAATCAATCCCTACACCGGCACGTATAGTTTCAGGCTTGGGCATTTATAACCCAACCTTCCTCGGTAACCTAACGATACTCCTAAAAATCAATCATATAAAGGAATCACATCTGTTTCATTGCCTTTCATACATGCTGTCATTTCTTTGGCACTCTTGACCCCAATTATAAATCGTCATTCTTGGCACGGTGGCCGTATTCCATAATTCATACTTTTGTTCTTTCATTTGACGTGGACTATAAATCAATTAAAGACTCTTATGAATTATCCGGAAAACATGACTTCGGTTCATGAATACATAAGTGCTTAGGACACATTGGAACAGTTACGAATAAGAGCATGATGATTTCTAACGGAACTATGGATTGAGTTCATTATCGTTTGATGATTCGATCATATTTGGACTATTTCCCAAGTAAGAGCATGATATACATATAGAGCAATTTGAGACATAATTAGAGTAATTAGACATTCAATAAGTCAAACATTGGTTATGATTTAGCACAATAAGGAGGAAAGCTTTGTCAAACCGTGCTTAGATTTCATAAGGAACACATGAAGTCTGATTCTATAAGAAGAGTTTAGCCAACATACCTTGTTTGAGATTTCCTTAGATTACTACAACGTTCCGAATATCCTAGTGACTTTAATCTAGTAGAGATGTGACAAAATTGAGCTATAATTAGGAAGGGGTTCATGGGTTCAGCTCATTTAGGCATTTTATTATGCACTAGGTATGCGAATTCGACTACAAGATTTCTATGGTGGAATTCCTTCATTCCACGACCAATGGTTCGCCCATATTAGTTCAATAACTTCCCAACCACCTTGATTGGTACATGCATGCACAAAGAGCAACTCCTACTCCCAAGAATCACCCTCCCCATTACCCATCTTGTGCCCAATTTTGAAATTGAGAGCTAGGGAGGGGAACCTTACCTTTTAGAGGAAGATTTACAAGCTTTCCTTGTTGAATTTCCAAGGCTTGATCAAGAATTTGAAGTGTGGAGATGTTAGTGCCCTTCTATCGCTCTCTAGCTCCCTTCCCCTCTCTCCAAAAATTTCAAATTTTTACTCCAAAATGACCCCCTAATGTCTTTTCTATTATTATAGAGTCTAGTAAAATTTTCCAAAATTTCAACCTTCGAGCCGAGTCAGGGGTCGCACACTTGACCGTAAAATGGGTATGCGGTCCGCGAAGTGGACCGCGGTCCCAAAAACTGGCCTGGCCTACTCAAGTCTGCGGACGTTCTGCGGCTCGCATAAGTTATGCGGTCGCGAAACCTCCTTTAAGAAAATCCTCACGCCGGTTCTGCGCGGAAAGTGCGACCTGCAAAAAGTAATGCGGCCGCACAATTGACCTCCAAAATTAAGCTTCTCATGTTCAACTCCGCAACGATTCTGCAGTCCGCGGAACAGTTCTGCGGTCGCATAATGAATGCAGAAATGCCATTTTCTGCAAAAAAAATTTTACCAACTCCACAATGCGTTGCACAACCCCCAAAGTCCGTAACAACCTTCCAACATGTTAGCCTACCTTGGCACCATAAATCTTAAATTCCTTGGTAAACTTTTATGGGGCCTTGCATTCTCAAATGTGATCCTTGTAAATGTGAAGAAGGGCTTGCAAATGCAAACTTGGTCCCTAAGCCGCAGACTTCATAATTGCGATCATGAACCTCGCAAATGCGACCAAGCATCACAAATGCGAAGCACCGTTCGCAAATGCGGATGTCACAATAGCGACACCAGATTTGCAAATATGAAGTTGGCCTTCACAACTAAGGATCGCAAATGCGATAAATATTCTGCAAATGCGAACTTCACAAATGCGAGCAGACTATCGCAAATGTGATGTTTGCAGCACCACCAATCACCAATCTTTCAAAATCAATCCAAAACTTGTCCGAAACTCGCCCGGGCCCTTTAGATCTCACACGAAATATCCTCACAAGTATATAAACTGCATATGTACTCTCTCACAAGTTCAAAAGATCAAAATAACATGCACAACCAAGAACCAAACACCAAAACACATATGCATGCCTTCAAGTTCAAGAACTTCAAATATTCACAACCAATTATTTTGTAACTCAATTATATTATAATAATATTATTATTTTAAAATTATATACTTATTGATATAGGTACACGCGCAACGCGCGTACACTAAAACTAGTTGTAGAAAAAAGTACAGAGAGATATTCTTAAGCCCCCGTTTGGCCAAAGATTTTGCAAATACCTGTTTCTTTATAGATTTTATCTATATTTTGACAAACTTTCAAATCCTCAGAACAAATCCCAAAACTAGCTTAAAAGCTATTTTTGGCCCAAAACATTACCATTTGATTTTTAAAAAAAAATCTAAAAATTGCCCTAAACTTTTATATTTTATAAAAAAGTCCACTTTCAATTATTATGACCCAACTAATCTATATCTACCCACTTTTTCCTCATTAAACTCGCGCGGTTTTGCCCTTCTCTTTAAACAGAACAAAACCTTAGCCAAAGTTGTTGTGCCTATATATGGCAATCCACCGCTAAAGTCTGTTAATGTTTGTATAATCTTTTTTTTTCTTCAGATTTGTTTTGCTTGTTTTTTATGAATTTTCTTTAGATTTGTTTTGCTTGTTTGTACGAATTTTCTTTAGATTTGTTTATTGTATGAATTTTCTTCAGAGTTGTTGGATATTTTTGTTGTTTTTTATGAATTTTCTTTAGATTTGTTTTGCTTGTTTGTACGAATTTTCTTTAGATTTGTTTATTGTATGAATTTTCTTCAGAGTTGTTGGATATTTTTGATAGTTTTTAAAACTTATAGGTATAAGTCACATTTCATGTTTTTTTCAACAAACTAAGTGAAGTATGTTTTGAAAAATTATGTCCAAACAGATTTTCATTTTCAAATCAAACTTTACCAAAATTAGATTTTTTAAAATAAATTTGGAAATCTATGGCCAAACGCTAGCTAATTTGGAATGCATTACAATGTAATAAAAATAGGGACAGAGTAACAAACTCTAAAATCTCTCTAAAAGATAGATATTAACATTAAATAAAATAGTATTTATAACAGAAAAGAAATACTAGCACTATTTTACATTAGTAGAATACATTTGCTACTTCAGTACTCATACTTTTTGGGATTGAAATTATCGCCCTCAATCTCCCCATTTTGGACACATTCAATCTCGTCTTCATCTCCAGGTCAAAGCCTTTTTTAACCTCAGTAGTATCTGTATAGTCTTCCATTTGCATCCTTCTCAAAACTTGTCATTTCTCACCAAATTCCCATTTCCTTCTCCATCAAAGGCAGAAACAAAGGAAATCAAGAAATGGCCCATATGCTGAGGAATTTGAGGGTACCACCAAACTCAGCCAGTTTGGAAGAAGCTCGCACTCGGACTTTTGAATTCTTCAGGATGTGTTGCAGATCTATCCCTCAAATCATGGATATTTACAACTTGGACGACATCGTTTCACCCTCCCAACTCCGTTCTGCCGCCGCCGCCCACGTTCGCAAGAACGCCAGTGTCACTGACCCTAGGGTACTTTCTCTTGATCCTTTATTAGGCTTCAATCCCAAATTAATTGGGGTCCTTAGTGTGTGTTTGCTAAGAAAATTTCATGTATTTTTGCGTTTGTGCTTTTCATTAGATATGATTTCCCAGAAGGAGATGCTAGTGTACATAATTTTGAAGATAGGAGTTTAAATGGAGAATCTAAACCGAGTTGGGAATCATAAGATTTTCAATTCTGAATTAACTGTAGTTTAACTCTAGAGTCAAATTGCAAGGATCTCACATATAATTCTTCATGCTATGGCAAATATTTGGAAATGATCTAGATGATGAAACAAACACATAGGTAAATGCTGCAGAGTCTTGCAAATTATATAATATTGAGAAGACATCCAAGGGTAACCACAAAGCTTAATCATAGTCTAAGGAGTAATTGTTAAATATATTATAATGGTAATACTGTAATAGACTTTAAGACCTATCAACATAATCTCACAAGAATCACATTGATGCACAACAGCAAAAAACGGATATAAAGTTTCTTGTAATTCTCACAACCTTTAAGTCTTTTGAAGGCCATTTAAGCAAGTTAGGTTGAAGTTTACTTGAGTAGAAGTGTTTTACCTTTATCATAACCATCTGATGGGGTGGGGCGGCGCGGGGCAGGTTGAGCCTTAACTCGCAGAACTTTTAACCCAACCCCCGCATAGCACTTTTGTATGTTTTCAACCTGCCCCGCCCCGCTTATTTTTTTTTTAAAATAATTTTGTTATTTTACGATATTACTTTTTTTTTTTTGATGAAGTAAGGGAATTTCATTAAATGGCATCAAGAAGATGCATAGCAAAAATTACAACATAAAGGTATTGTCTGCTCATTATACAAAAACTTACAAGACAACTAAGGAGCAGACAAAATCCAGAAATAGTTCAACACTAGTTACAGGGGCCTGATTGAACCAACTAAATAAGTTAATTAAACAAGTGGCTTTACTGGATTTTGTTAATTACCCAGTTTTCTAGCCCGTAGTTTGATTTCCAAATGAGATATTTAGATAAAGCTCAGCAAGATTAAGAATATTTAAATCACCATTTTGTCCTTCCGCATCGTCAATTTTGGTTTGTGATAAAATATCTGAAAAATCCATAAACAAACTATTTATTTTTATTTCTTCACAAATTCCAGAACTTTGAAGTTCATTTAACTAAAGCAAGGCTTCGTTGGCTAACTAATCAAAATTAAACGTTGATATTTTTCCCACCAAAGCAGTGTTATCAAAGGCGAAAAGCGCAAAAAAGCTCTAAGGCCCGTTGGGGCTTTAAGCGCAAAGCGCAAATAAAGTGTGGGCTTTAATGAAAAAAAGCGCAACTGGAGAAAAAAATAAAAATATGTATATGTAGTCCAAGACCAATAATTATAAGCATGAATAACAAATATATGGACAAAAAAATTGAAGAAAAAATAACGATAAAGTGAAATATCAATTATCCAGTGTTGCATTTTTAGGATTACACTCATTGGCAAGGATATGCTCGAGAGCCTTGATGGGGCACTGAAGCGCCCGCAAAGCGAGGCGAAGCGCTCAACATGTTTTGAGCCTCGCTTTAGGGCTTAAGCGCGCCTTTGACAACACTGCACCAAAGTATACTTTTTATCAGTTAGTTTTAACTAATTAAAATGAACTAATCCATTAACAGTTAGTCTAAAACCTTTATGAAAACATATTACTTCTGCTTCAACTAGCTTTACTTGTGGACAGAGAATCGGAGAGACGCAACAGGTAATAAGGTTTTAGTTTAAGACATGGGTCTCATCAGAATGGATTTCTCAATCCACAACCCGCCCCATCCCGCATAGCCTTAACCCCCCCTCCCCCCCTCCCCCTCCTATATGAATTTACCTTTGTTAGAAACAAATTTCTGAAATGTACTTTAATTCAATTTAAGTATAAGAGAAAGATTTAATTCATAAATCTGTTGATTTGAGCTGACTTTAAGAGCAAGACTAGATCAATTACTATTTCGAACTAATAGACAGGTGAATCAAGTGGATCTTAATAGCTGTGCTAACTCATTAGAAATCTGGATTCTGGAGATTATTCATTTAGATCTAAATTATGTTTGAGACTTTTGACTCTTCATAACTACTAGCTTATTGTTTGGTGAATAGATTTGTTTAGATAGTTGATGAAGTCTAGATTGCTTCTTCTTGGAGATATTGCATGTTGGATTAAATAAAATTGTAAATTATTTTTCGAGGATATGATGCTGTAACTGTTATGATACTTTTGATCCTCTCTGTTGTACTTCTATAGTACCTCCTTGGTACTTTTTATTAATAAAAATACCTTACCTTATCTTCTGAAAAAAAAACCTTACCTTAATACCTTATCACAAAAAAAAAATAAAAAAAAATGTGAAAGTAATACTATTACTGAATATCATGAGATCTGGAGCTGCTTATGAAGGAACAGGTGCAAATGGGGTTGTACTGATGTTAGAACATAAAAACTGTTGGTCAGGGACTCTTGTTAAGGTTTAGAAACAGTAAAATTTGCTGCCTTTATCTGTCTTCTGCAGTCACAGCCCATGGTTATGCTTTTTTGTAAGAAATAATTTGGGAAATAGGTAAATGAACCGTTTTCAGTTAAAAAAATTGCGGACCAACTCTTTGATTATTACTTACCTTTCAGAACTTGGTCCATTCTTTCTTACGATCATAATGTTTCTCTTGATTTTAGTATTTTACCACTTCTGCTTTGGGACATGGATAGCAGGCAATATTTATATGGCAAATATTTGGAAATGATCTGGATGATGAAACAGACACACATAGGTAAATGCTGCACAGTGGATTGGAACTGATGGATTACATATTATATAATATTGAGAAGACATCTAAGGTTAACCGCAAAGCTTAATCATAGTCTAAGGAGTAATATATATATATATATATATATATATATATATATATATATATATATATATATAGCTACAGAGGCGGATGCGGATTCAGTCCAAGCTAAGTTCATAGGTATTGCCTAAAAATATCAATTTTATAAAAAAATAGAGCACTGACCTAAACTAGACCTCTTTTAAGGCAGAAAGACTTCTAGGCTTTCCAGGAATTGGAATTATTGAAGAAGCTCTTTATATTGGAATTGAATCCTACACATAAGAGCATTCCGAATGCTAAAAAGTTTCGGTTCATTTTATTTACGATTTAAAAGATGCTATATATATAGACTTTTTTTTTTGATGAAGTAAGTGGTATATTAATAACAAAAGCATCCAGAGGATGCAGGATGCAGAATTACAAAATAGGACAAGTATCAGCTCATAATGTAGACAAAAACAATCAGAGGATTATGGAGCTGATAAATTCCAAAAAGAGGTCAGGATTATATACAGGGGTATGGTTAACCCAACTAAAAAGGAAAACTAAACATCTAGCCTTAAGTTGACATCTAGCAGTTGAAATACCATGAAAACATCTTTGATTCCTCTCAGTCCATAAGCACCACAAAATAGAAGCAGGAACCATAGACAAGATTTTCTTGATGGATTTGTCAACTTCCCAGTAGCTCCAACACACAGAGGCTTCCCTGACACTGCATGGCATAGTCCAATGCAGTCCAAAAGTGAGAGGAACATAGACCATAGGTCAGTTGCAACTGAACAATGTAGAAACAGGTGATTGATCGATTCAGAGTCGCAGAGACACATGTGACATCTGTTGGCTAATTGGAAATTCCTTCTGATGAGGTTGTCTTGAGTTATGCAAGCGCCATGTAGAGCAGTCCAGTAGAAAACACTGATCTTTGGAGGGAGCTTCGTCTTCCATATAAGTTTCCACGGCCATCGATCAATCAATACTTTATTAGAGCTCAGATTAAAATAACTTTCTTTGACTGAAAAAGAGCCTCCCCTCCTATTGCCCCATTTAAGTTGTCCATAATCTTAATGTTGTCTGAAGCACGAGTACCAAGAAGAGCCAGCAAGTCCTCAATCTCCCAATCATTCAGGTTTCTTCTTAAGTGAGGGCACCATGAGTTCTCCACCCAATTCTGAGCAACTGTAGAATCTGGGTTAGACGCAAGTGAGAACATTCTTGGATAAGCATTTTTCAGTGTGGTAGTTCCTATCTATAAGTCCTTCCAGAATAGGATATGTTCACCATTGCCCAACTGGAGTGATGTATTAAGAGAGAAAGAATTCCACAATGACCTGATGCCCTTCCATAGCCCACAACCATGAGGAGTATTAGCAAAACTAGAGCACCAGTGGCTGTCACAACCATACTTGGCTTGGACTACCTCCTTCCAGAAAGCCATTCCTTCTTTATTATACCTCCAGTGCCATTTCATGAGCATACTCTTGTTGTGTAAAGCCAAATCCTTGACCCCTAGTCCCCCAAGCGGCTTAGGGAGGATTACCGTAGCCCACTTCACAAGGTGAAATTTATCTTCTTTACTGTTGCCCTCCCATAGGAACGAACATCTGAGTTTGTCAAGCTGTTTCCGAACACTAGCTGGAAGTTTGAAGAGGGACATAAAGTAAGTAGGTATGCTATCCAAAACACTGTTAATAAGGGTTATTCTGCCACCTAGGGAGAGATATTGCTGCTGCCAGGAAGCTAATCTCTTCTCAAAATTTTCAATGATTCCATTCCAAATAACAGTAGATTTGTGACTAGCAAGTAGATTTGTGACTAGCACCCAGAGGAAGGCCTAGGTAAGTGGTCGGGAAGGATCCTATATTACAACACATAATTTCAGCCAAATCCTCTAAATCGGGAACTACATTAACAGGATATATGATGCTTTTAGACATGTTAACATGTAGCCCTGACAGTGCTTCAAAAATCATCAAAGTGAGACTAAGATAATGAACTTGAGTCTTCTCAGCACCACAGAAAATAAGAGTATCATCAGCAAACAACAAATGTGAAACTGAGATTGAATGACCATATCTATTGCCAACCCCAAAGCCCTCTAACCAGTGCAGTTGTTTGGCCTTGTTCAGCAT